CGGTGTTACCCTATTAATCATCTACTAAAACATGTCATGAGCATCATACTTGTGTGTTAATGCATGTGGTGAAGTGTGTAGATCAATTTCTATAACTCAAAATGATCAATAAAAATGCTAAACGAAAGTTGGTTCGATGGTTCATGCATATCAAGTAGGGTTTAAAACCAATTTTTATTAAGCAAAAATACTATAGAACATGTGTGTGATACTTAAATAAAGTTGGAAGTGCAAACTTTGTAGATGACAATGAAATACTTTCTGTTGAAAAAGAATATTGCTAAGTAATATTTTCAGTAGCTTAGAAATGCAATATGAAATTAAGATTAGCTCAAATGCTTAGAAAATTTTTGTCTGTGGATAGCTAGACGCTGCTATATTTAGCAATTTATTTGGAGAGATTGGGTTAAGGAGTGGTGTAGTGCTATGATTTGATTTATTAGTTCCATATGCCATCTTGAGTGTAGTGAAGCCGGTTTAGGTTTAGGAGCAACAGTTTGGTCGTGATCAGTGCTTTAAACTTCGTGCACGTCACAGCTTTGTGCTGTTTGGCGCCTTCCGCGTGGTCACCACATAGGGCCGACCCATGTCGTCGTGCGGTTGTGCTGTGCACGCACGTGGCCGCGCACCGGCTAGCCATAGCCGCCATGGCCTTGCCGCGACTTGGCCGCTCTGGCCGCACCTCTAGTCCGCCGGTCCGCTCTACGCCCGACTGCCCCTGCCACTGTGGCTACCGCTGGTGCTGCTACTGCTGCCTCCGTGCCTGTGCCATGACGACGCCACTGCCGCCATCGTCGCATCACCACGCTGCGCGCCTGTAGCTACGCTACGCCGCTGGCACCCCTCGACGCTGCGCGCACGTGGCCATGTCGTCATCGCCTTTCCATTGATGGCACTGCGGTGCACAGGCCACGCCGGTCGTGAGTGTGTGTGTCTGTTGGCTAGTGCCTGGCCATGGGCTGCGTCGGTTGCGCCAACCGCATCCTGCCAAGGCACGCCCTTGCCGAGTCGCTGGATGCCCCTCCCCCACCGCTCCCTCGCTCTCTCTCTCTCTCTCTCTTTGTTCTTGCCGAGTCGCTGGATGCCCCGCCCCCACCCCGCTTTGATTGCGGCTCCGCCGAGCCTCAATTTTGTAGCTTCGCCCCACCACTGCGCCGTTAAGACCCATCACCGCCTGCACCATGGCCAGCCTCTACCACTTCACCCCGCACAAATTCCTCTTCACCACTAGCTTACCTTGGCTCCTTCTCCACCATGCACACGCCAGTGGGAGCGCTACCGCCTCCCCACCGCCGCTGGGCTGCCGTGTCCGCCGCGGCTCGTCGCCGTGCTCGTCGTGCGCACGTGGCTAGCCCTGCTCAGGTAGTCGTCGGCCGAACCACCACTTCAGCCGGGTCACGGTGTGCCCCTGGTGCTTATCCCCTATCTCTATCGTCCTGTTAGCGTTGTATCTCGCCGGGGTGACTGCGGCACCGTCGTGGGTGACCGCGCGCGGTGGCAGCTCGCTCCAGCGCGCCCTATTGCTCCGTATCACCGCTTAGGGTAGGCGTTAGGTTCGTAGATGGGGTTCGGCTCGTTAGTTGGGTCGGTGCGAGCCTCGAGTGGCCGACGTACTGCCTAGTGCCACCGTCCGCTGCGCCGGCGAGCACAGGGCATCTCGGGGACCTCTCTAGTGCGAAGGTGAAAAGATACGAGGGCTCCGTTGCAAAGTCGTTGTCTATATATAGAAATAGTACGTGTAGTGTTCGCGCTATTGTCTTATAACACGAGGGCGTTTTTGCAAGAGTGCCAGCGTGCACGCGGGCTCCCCGCCGCAGGCCACCTCCACGCGTGGGCTGCGCCCCGCGTGGGCCGAAATCGGTTTATTTTTTCCGTAGAAAATAAAAATAGCTTTTCATTTTAATTCTAAGCTGAACTTTGGTAATTAATATAAAATAAATATAGATATCCAAAAATTATGAAACTAATTTTGTTAGATTCCCAAAAACATTGTCTACCTATTAGTATAGTTAGTTCATACATATCTGTGTGGTTGCTAAGAAGCACTAAAATAGTTGAGATGCTTAGTATTATTTTGATTAATAATTATAAGAATTTTTTTGGTAGATTGGTGATAGCAAAAACCTTGAATATTTTATAGGAGCTTCATTGTATTATTATGTGCTCACTTAATTTTTATAGCCCTAAAATAGACTACTTAATATGGCAGCTAAATACTCATTAAGGCTAAAGGAATAATGGCATGATATTGGTTTATAAAAGTTAAGCACTTGTAGGGTGAGCTTGAAATCTATTTGGTAGAGATAATGATTAGCTTAGTATCTTAGTCATTAGAGCTAGCTTAGTAGCTTAACATGTGTATCCTTATTTTAAGAGTTGCTGTTGCTGAAATACTAAGTGTTGCATCATCATTGCATGCAAGTAGAGAACGAGCTTGTGGAGTTCGTGACCGCCAGAGAGCAGGAATACGATGAGGTGATCGAGGAGTACAAGAAGGAGATTCTCATATAGGAGGAAGCCCCATAGCCACCGATGACTGACATAGCTAACAATCCGCCTGCTTAAGGCAAGCCCCGGTGTATAACCCTTATTTTGAATAATCACTGGATATATATATGTGATGTGCATTTACATTACAGGATTTATATTTATACTACATGCATAGATAAACCTACTTATAAGTCCTACTAGCATAGGTCAAGTAGCTGCTATGCTTAGGCTATCGGTAGCGTGAGTAACCTGCCGTTACTCACAATAGGTGATTATTATTGTTACTCTCATGATAAAATGGTGAAATAAAATAGAGACCGGGTAGGGATATGGTACGGGTATTGGTGGATGTAATAGGTTGTGTCCCGCAGCCAACGGGACATAACTTGGTTACACTGTTTTCCCTGTCCGTGTCGGTTAAGGACTGTCCGTTGCTGTGGATGGTAGTCAGGTCACAGACTTATTATCCTGAGCACATACTTGCTTATGGGAGCGAGAAGGCTCGTTGCTCTCTTGTCGTGGGTTCCGGCTCTCTCCGGACCGACTGATTGGAGGTGGGGATGGTGGAGGTCTAAGCACCACTAGTCGAGTAAGTCTTCCAAGTATATTGTGTACTCAGGGTTTATTTACCCCTGTTACAGATGCAGCTTGAGGAGTGGTTGTTGTGTGGATGATTCTTCTGGTGGGCACAGACGGGTCCTTATATCTTATCGTTAGATGTTTATTTCAATTCCGCACTCCGAACTTGGTATTGTAATAATGTATTTCCGAGAACTCTTTGTATGAAATGGACTAAGTATTGTAAACTCGTTCTCATTATTCGATTCTGGATGAAAAATGTGGATTGTTTCGAGTCCTCCCTTGGGGTGTGCTCGACGGAACCTCCTGGTGTGGCTTACTTTCAGGGTGCAAAGTGTCTAGTGGAAGACAAGCGTCTCCGAAGGTGTGTTATTTCGGCAGTTCTGCCATAGCCTCGGTCGTTCGGGCCTTCGCTAGCTGATGCATCGTAGGTCGCTCGGCCTGCTAACTAATTGATGCCTTGAGACACCCGGGGATTATAACCCCGACACCTTCTTTGCAATGTGAAGGTCAGTTATTGCTTAAGTTTAGTAGTTCACCCAAAAGTATTTTTGATATATCTGTCTCTGTACCTTGATTGATGATTAGTATTAAGAGTGGATGCAATTGACATGTCTGGGAAACATCAAATTGATTTGAATACAGATATTTTGGTTTATATGCATTTTGAGTTCAATATAAATGCTTTATGGAGTCACTACTATAAATTTATAATGAACTAAAGTTCCACATGTTTATGCAACAACGCAAAATTTTCTTGTCTAATAAGATAGTTTGCATAGGATTCATAAGTTAACTTTAGACTTAATGTGGACCATAGCGTTAGCGCGGACAATATACTAATGTTAAACAAATATCTAAGCTCATGTCTTTGTCTTTCCCCTATTAATTGGGCTAACTTCTAAAAAAACACGATAACATTGTGTGCATCATCTTCCAACCTTCAAAACACCACCAAAATTAATTACGAAAACTTCTTCAGAACAATGGTGGTGTAGAAGGTGCCATATTTATTAATGAGGATAACTTTCTCCACCTTTTTTTTTCTTCTTGTAGTTAAATGCACCAATAGCCCTCGAACTTGTAAGAGTGTGTCACGTAGGTCCACGAACTTTAAAAATGTATTTCTGCGTCTCTAAACTTGTTAAGTGGTGCACCGCAGGTTTATGCCAGCCACGTGGGTATTTTTTTGTTGATGTGGCGTGCTCGCATGTCATGTATTTTTACATTTAACCCTTCAAATTTATTTTCCCTTGAAAATAAACCATTGGTGGCAATGATGCAACTCCAGGAAGCACGTGACCTTCCGCAGTAGCGAGGAAGGAGCAGGAAAGAGAACAAGGAGAAGGGAGGGTCAATTCTTACAGGAAAAAATAAACATGAAGGGTTAAAAAGTAGAAATATATACATGCAACGATGGCATGCTATCAGCGAAAACGCCCACGTGGTTGGCATAGACCTGCGATGTATGACTTAACAAGTTTAAAGATCTACAAATGCATTTTTAAAGTTTGCAACATGGCAAATTTTGATATAATTTTTACCACTGTTTGAAAGTTGTTCTGGAGGTTGAACCCCAACGCCTATAGTTGGGTGACAGATTTCTATACTTTTGTAAATTTACAAATAGACGAGAATTTTAATAGTAGTCCATTATAGAAATATATATTTCTTTAGAAAAAACCTCCTACCTACAGGATGTGGAATTATCCGGCATATATGAACCACTTTTTAATAAACAAACCAAATCGCATTTCATGTATAAATGAATTCAGAAACCCTCAGGTCCCTCTGTTAAGAATGAACTATTTTGTGCAACAAATGTCTACTACTCTACTCCCTACTGTAGATGGTGATCTATTCCAACTCTGCTTATAAACTTCAGCCCCTTGAAAATTTACAATTTCGAGAACACCGGCACGCACATGCCGTCAGTTTACGCTGAGCAGCGGAAACCCCAACGCTGGGTGCGGCGACAGCGGTGAGAGCGGCGGCAGATCTCGGAGCAACGCCTCCCAGTACTGCTCCGAGCTCCCGCTCGACGGTGTCACGGGGAGCCACTCAGAATCTCCACCCGTCCCTGTCGTAGCCGACGTCACCGTCGATGAGGCGGTGGTCTCGCGTGTAGACATGGATGACGGCGAGGTGGACGACACCTGGGTCGACGGCGGCGGCGGCGCCTCGATCTTCACCGCCTTGTTCACCACCGCGACCACCTCGACCACGGGGTCGTCCTCACCCTCCATCTGCTGCCGCTTCCGTTTGTTCGCCGTCTTGGGCGGGGCCCAGAGGTCAGCGCCGCGGGTGCCGACCTCGTTGGGGAAGTTGAGGATGGCCTTGGCGCCGCGCATGCGGAACGCGGCGCGGTCGTAGGCGCGCGCGGCCTCCACGGGCGTGTCGTACGTGCCGAGCCACACGCGCGAGCCACGCCGCTTCGGGTCGCGGATCTCCGCCGCGTACTTGCCCCAGGGCCGCTGCCGGACGCCGCGGTACTTGCGGAAGTCCTCCTCGACGGCCGCCACGGCCGGCGCGCCGGCCGACGACGCCCAGGCGTACGAGCTCGGGGGCACGGAGATGGTGAGCGGCGGCTGCCTCATGGCCGTGGGCGACGACGGCTCGCTCCCGAACTTTATCATCACCGGTGGCGCCGCCGGCTCCTGCGCCCGGAACGCCGCCTCGCCAACGGCAGCAGCCGCACTCGCGGTCGGAGCAGCTCCCACGCCCTCGGGCGTCGTCAGGTCTATGTAGCCTGCTTGATGCTGCTGCTGCTGCTGCGGTAACAACGAGACAGGCTGGAACTCCGGTTGAAGTGTCAGGACGGGGAAGGTGACGTCGTCGGAAACTACGACAGGGCTGTCCACGGGGACGCCGCCATCGCCGCCGAGCATGAGGTCGCGGATGAAGTCGAGGGCGAAGCCGTCGGCGTCTCCGGTGAAGTCTATGTTCATGTTCGGCTGTCGATGAAGCTGTACAACTGTACGTAGCGGTAGCGGAGGAGAGGATGGCACAAGAACACAAGAACTCTCAGCGGCAGAGGTTGTCCCGTGCCTCTGTTTTTGTGTGTGCGTCGAGTAGCTGATGCTCCGTGGACAAGACTACGGCCTACGGGGCGGTGCCCTGTAGTGTGTTTATAGGCAAGAAATCAGGCAGGCTTTCCTCCGGTCAGGTGGATTTCTTTGACCACCCTTTGATTAGTGGACTCGCCCTAGTCTTTACATCGATCGTAATATCGTAATCACACTTCATTTCACAGTGTACTGAGTTTGTTTGGCTGTTGATCGAATCACGCGATCTAATAAGCCGGCGATGGGCCGGTTTGACGATGTGGCGTGCAATTTGCCCAAGTGGCATTCTACTCCTGTAGATATTTGACGCTTTCAGATTTTACTACTATATCTTGTGATGACTTATTCGATCACTACTTGTCTTACATAACTATCCAGTTGATCTATTTGCTGTGTATGTTTTTTTAAAAGAAAAAAGAAAAATGAGAGAGAGAGAGAGTAGTTACTGTGTGAACTTTCTTGAGTTTTTGAGCTGTGGAAAAAAAATATGAAATTTTGTACAGTTGGAGCCGATCCAAAACATAATAAAGAAAACACATTTCTCAAACCTGAATCCACTAAGATTAAAGGAGCGCCCAAGCTAAGTAAAACAAAAGCTTGCTACAACAAAAACGCGTTATGGCTTGAAAGACTTTGTGAGTTTCCCTAATTATGAACACGTGTTTGGATATACGACAATAGTGATTAGTGGAGGCAGGTTTAGATGGGCAGGGCAATTGTAGAATCTGGCATTGATGAATGAACGGATATCCGACACGCTCTATGTAAAGCATATGTAAATCGGTATTTCTGGAAAGCGGGCATCCGTCCGTCCCGGACGGTCTGTTGATGGGCCACGACGCTAGCCCAACAACCCCTTTCTATCTGCTCGTGAGTTAAAAAAAAGAATCGGTCTTCCTGCCTCGTGGCCCTCTTCCTTCCCCAACGCGTCGCACCCTGCGCGCAGCTCGCAGCTCCACGCCGTCACATGCAGCCCCGCCAGCCACCCGCGTGTAAGGAAAATGGACCCTAGACCCATTTACTTTAGATTTTGGTGTTTGATGACCAACCCAACCAAATTGGACTAATGAATTTGCAAGTTATTGTTTTGTAGTTCAATTGGATGCGAGACGTGACTTGGACGAAGGCGACGTGATGATCCGATGATCAACACTATAAGCAAGACCCTAGTAGTACAAGAGAAGACCTAAGATATCAAGCAAAGTCCAAGCACGAAGATAGGAACCAAGCCGTACGCAAGATCGCAAAGAAACGAGCTCACAGAGGTGACCGAACGCTGGAGGAAAGTGACCGGACGCTCCGATCAAGAAGCTCGGCAACAGGCGCGACCGGACGATGGACCGGACGCTGGCGGCAAATCGATCGGACGCAGGACAGCAGCGTCCGATCGAGTACAGAAAGGTTCCAGAGCGACGATACTGCGACCGGATGCGTCCGGTGGCAAGTGACCGGGCGCTAGCAGTGTCCGATTAGTTGATCGCGGCTCCAACGGTCGGGACGACCGGACACGTCCGGTCCGAACGTGATCAGTGTCCGGTTAGTAGCAAAAAAGCGGGATTTCGTCCCCAATGGCTACTTTCTCAGTGGGGCTTATAAATAGACCCCCCCAACCGGCCAAATGAGAGGTGTGGAGCTGAGAAAACATATCTAGGATGTTGATACACTATTTTAGTGATCTCCACTTGCATATTGCTTAGTGATTCATTAGGTGATTAGCGTAGGTGCTTTGCGAAGTGCTTAGGTTGATTAGACCACCGCTTATGCGCTTGCTCTAGGTTTAGGCCTAGTGTTTAGTGAGGTTTGCATACCTCTTACCACTCGGTGCTTGCGCGCACCATTATTGTACATCGCAGGGGCTTGTAGTCTTGTGAGATCACACCAACCGCGCTTGTGGTGTGGCCGCCACCGTGTACCGGAGGGAACAAGGCCCACGACGTTTTGGCCGGAAGCTTGATAGTGAAGACGGCGGGGAGCATCCGGGAGAGGCTTGCCAGAAGGCACGTCGGAGACCCACTTGCGCGCGGAGAAGGCTCAAGGCTATCCACGGAGTTACCCGACCGGAAGCTTGGCCCTTGCGAGGGGCTCCAACGAGGACTAGGAGGAAGCTTGCGCGCTTCTCGATACCTCGGTAAAAATACCAGAGTCGTCGACTGGAGTTTGCATATCTCTACCTTGCTATTTAGCTTCCGCATTTACATTGATTGTATTACTCCTTTTGCGGTAGAGATAGCAATACACTAGCAAAATCGTAGTTGCACATTTAGATAGTTTATCTTTTGCATAGGTTTTGCTAAGGTTAGAAAAAGAGGCCATAGTTTAGAGTTAGATTTTTAAGTTGCCTAATTCACCCCCCCCTCTTAGGCGTCACGGTCCCCTACACCGCGCGCCCCCACCGCCTCCTCGCTACTCCGACATAGCATCGCGCCGCCCTCCCCGGCCACCTGCCGCGCCTCCATGCTTGCTCCCCCGTGCCCTGGACCACCGAGGACTGCCGGCTTATTGAACTTGGGGTGGGAGCTGAGGACCGTCGGCTGCCCTTCTTCCAAGGTCCACCCGTCGCCTTCTTGAACTCGATGTGGGTGCCATCTTCTCCGCTCCTCGCCCTAGGCCGCTGCCTCTGCTGAACACACACCGACGAGCCTCCATTCTTCCAAGCAGCAAGAAGATGTTGTGATGAAAGCGCATGTTGCAAGCATATATTACAAGTGTTTCAGATGTTTCAGAGGTATGTTGCAAGTGTTTCATATGGATGTTGCAAAAGTGGATCGGGATGTTGCATATGTTGCAATGGTTGTACACGGATGTTGCAAGCTTCTGTTCCCAATGTTTCATCTATTTTTTTCAAAACGTATGCAACTAGTGCAAAACTGGTTCTTCACAAAACTAGTCTTGTGAGGAGCAAAGGCCGCCTTGCCTTTCTTGGGGGTATAGCCCAATCCCTCTTTGTAGAGAGAAGCTCTTTGGCTACCTAAGCATATAAGCAAGCGGTCCTCACCACCATAGGCCTTAGCCAAGGTGTGAGTGAGCTCATTTACCTCCTTCTTGAGGGTCTCATTCTCAACCATTAGTGAGGCATCACAAGTGAAACCATCACTACTAGATGAGGTGGAAGAAGAAGTGCTATAAGAAGGGTTAGTGGGAGCAATAATGATAGGCATAGATAATGATTCATCAATTAGGTCACAAGTTAAGCCTACATTACAAGTCTCAACATGCTTCTTCTTATTTTGTTCATTAAGCAAAGAAGAATGAGCTTTTTTAAGCTTCTTGTGAGCCTTGCCAAGCTTCTTATGGGCTTCATCTAGCCTCTCATGAGTTGCTTTGAGCTCATCAAGGGCTTGCTTAAGGGCTTTTACTTCCTTATTCAAGCTCTTGCATTCCCTTCTATTAATGTCAAAGTGTTCTTTAACATCTTCTAGCATGTCAAATAATTCATCTTTAGTGGGTTCATCATCATCACTATCACTATCATTTTCATTATCATGTTCCTCATCACTTCTATCATCACAAGTTTGTATCTTAGTGGCCTTAGCCATGAAGCATGATGGAGTGTCGAAGAGAGAAGGTTTCTCATTGATAGCAATGCTTGCAAGTGCCTTCTTCTTGGTGGTCTTGTTATCATCACTATCATCATCACTTGAGGAAGCATCACTATCCCAAGTGACCACATATGAACCACCATTCTTCTTCTTCTTGAAGGTCATTTTGTCCTTCTTCTCTTTCTTTTTCTTCTTGTCCTTTTTCTTGTTCTTTTTGTTGTCATCACCATTGTCGCTATTGTATGGGCATTGAGCAACAAGATGATCCTTGCTTCCACAATTAAAACACCTTCTTGACTCTTTCTTGTTCTTGGATGAAGATTTCTTCCTTTTAGCATGGTAGCCTTTCTTCATCATGAACTTCCCAAATCTCTTGACAAAGAGAGCCATCTTTTCATCATCATCATCATCATCCCATGAACCATCATCTTTACTTAATATATCTTGCTTTGCCTTCCCCTTGGATGATGTGGCCTTGAATGCCACACTCTTCTTCTTGTCATCCTTCTTCTCATCTTTTTTTCCTTCTTTTCTTCCTTCTAATCATCATCTCTATATGTGTCATCGGTCATTATATCTCCCAACACTTAGTTTGGTGTCATGGTGTCCAAACCACTCTTTACTAGAATAGTGACAATGTGCTAAATCTTGAAGGTAAGCATCTCAAGAACTTGTGGGGGAAGTCCTTGTCCTTCACCTCTTCTCCAAGTGCTTTGAGATCATTGACAAGTACTTGAAGCCTATGAAACATCTCCAGCACACTCTCATCCTCCTTCATCTTAAAGCTTGCAAACTTCTCCTTGATAATGTATGCCTTTGCACCCTTCACGGCTTGAGTGCCCTCAAATAATTCCTCCAACTTCTTTCATGCCTCATGAGCTCTCTCAATGTTTTTGATTTGCTCAAATGTTCTTTCATCCAAAGCATCATGGATGGCACTAAGAGCAATGTCATTATTTTGGCGAAGCATTTCTTCAGTGGCGGTGGGAGCCTCTTCATCATCAATCTCAATCTTGGTCCTCACCACCTTCCAAACCTTCCTATTGATTGACTTGATATAAGTTGTCATCTTAGCCTTCCAATAAGGATAGTTTGAGCCATCAAATTGGGGTGGCTTCTTGGTGTTGTTGATTTGAGCCATTTTTACACCGAAGGTTGTTAAGCCTCAAATCACGGTGACCACGGCTCCGATACCACTTGTAAGGTCCTAATGGCTAGAGGGGGGTGAATAGCCTATTAAAATTTCTACAACAACACTTAACAAACCGGTTAGACAAATATGAGGCAAAGCGAGTGTTGCGCTAGCCCACTAAAAGTACAAGCCACCTACCACAATTCTAGTTT